CCCTAGTCTCCTCTGTAACGGCAGCCTAAGGCAAGTCTGTCATGGTTACAGGAGAAAGACCTTGCAATCAGCGTTGGAGAGGCCAGCTCTAACTCTTTAAGATCACTCAGTCTTTATCTACCAGCTTGTTTCAAAAGGGCGGCAACATAAAAATGTATTAAGAAAAAGAAGAAAAATCATTTAAGCAAGGCTCAACAAGGAAACTCAAGTGCTCTGTGCATGGATGTCATTAGAAACTATGTATATAAGCACATCAGAGTTCATTTGATTGCAAGTTTTGATACTAAGGTAAAAAACCTATCTATTTCTTGTTTTCTCACCATCTGTATTAATGCACATGTTTGCCCCACTGGCTCTGGGTATTCTCTACTAGTACATTATTTACAAAATATGTTATGCTCCAAACAGTCCTCTGGATGAGAGTATCACTTCTGTTGCTTACAGCTGTCATCAGAGGGACAATGCATGTGTCTAAAGGTACCCTTATATTTTGCTGAATCCTTTTCCAGACTCCTCATATCAGCAGTCACCAAGCAAACAGAGAAAAGGGATCTACAGTCTCTTGCCAAGGCCACCTTTCTCCCAAAGCAAGACAGTGTACCCAGACTGAATGTTATACCAGGTAACAGCAGCTGTTTCTATTTACTGAGCCCATTGTATTTCTTTTTCTGTTACTGTTGTTAATTATGACTGTCCCAACCTGTGACTATGTGGTTAATTTCAGTTATAAAATTATAAAGTGACTTGGCTAAAAAAATATAGGGAAAGCCTTTAATAAGTAATACTGGTCTTTCTATTCTGGAGAGAGTTAAAGATGCCCCTTCCTATATTAAGGGACAGACTATTGTTATTAATAATCTTATATAATATTAATGCATTATAATGCCACAATAAAAAGTGAAATGATACTAGAAGTATTATTATTAATAATAATTTTGACTATGGTAGGCTTTCACTCACAAAGCATTTTAGAAGCAGTGATTAATTAAAATGTCAATATTGGCATACTAAATCCACCACTATATTTCCAGATGGGGCAAAGGAATGTACAACCTCTGCCCATTTATTTTTAATTACTACTTATTTGGTTTCTTAAACCCATGACCCTCTTTCAGATTTCCACTTACTCTAAGCACAGCCAAGGGCTTTTCCTGGCCACGCCTCTTCCTGCTGCAGTCTATGTGAGCAAAGCAAGATATAGACCATGATGAGGAAGAAGGACATCGGCTGAAACATGTCTCAGGTCTGTGGCAACATATCCCATTAAAGCAGCTCTGCCAGCTCTCCGCATGGTACACACTTGTGGACAATAGATCTATAGATAGTTACTAAACAGAATAGGCAGAGATGTGCCCTCCAGCCCCTCTGCCTCGATGACTGTAGATGCCAGGGATAGATGGGAATAATGGGCCACAGACAGTGGCCAGGCTGACCAGTTCTCACTAGATAGCACATTCCACTGCCACTCCTCTGCTTGGACCATTGCTCCAGGCCAGTCAGACATTTCCTGTATTTTTATCTTCTTATTTTTAGGCTTAGTAGTGCATTTCATCAGTTGTTATCAAAGGGCTGTACAGATGTTCTTACCAGAAGTTCTTAGCCAGAAGTAGGTGTCTTAGCCCTGTGCATCTGACTGGGCACAAACCTGACTGGATGAAGAGAAAGTCAAACATGGTAGCAGCATCAGGATTCCTGTATCGCTGCTTAATAGGAGATGCCATGAGGGAGATAATTTCTTATGCATGGGTATATGTACGTGCATATACATGTACACACATATACAAACATATGTTTCATATGCATAGAATACAATAGACTGTGCATGATGATGGACATTGACTTAGGGAGGAAGGATTTTACCTGATTTTGTTCATGATGAGCTTACTGAATGGATATGGAGAAGAAATCCATTTATTAATTTTCTGTTACTGCAACATTCCCCATCTTCCTCTTCCTGCAGTTTAGAGCCCTCACCTCCTCTTTGGTCGGATGCCTTATTGCTATCTTAAGGCGGAAATCACCTGCCTTGATATGGGTCAAGACCAGAGCTAGGAGCCCTCCATGCCCTTTAGTAGCCTCTACTTCTTTTTTTTTCTTTTTTTTTCTTTTTTTTTTTTAATAAAACAAAAAACACAAACACAGCGCTGTGAGAATGATGTGAACCCAGTGAGCAATAAACAATGGAGTAATGTAATCCAGCCTCCCATCACCTGATGAATGGCTGCAGGAAGCCAGCGGGGAAGGCAAGGACTCCATTTTCACTGTGATGAGAGCTGCCCCAAAGGACCGATACGGATGTGAGCTTTCCTCTCCTTGGCTCCAAGGCTAGAAGCATCCAATAAATAGCTCAGACTAAAACTCACTTACTTACAAACAACAGGGGGAAGGACAAGCCTGGTAGGTATGGGAAAGAAGAGCAGGTCATATTGGTTTAACAGTTTCAGAAACTTGGCAGAGAAGAAAAGGTTCTGGTAGCTGTTTGTTTAGTGCAGAAAAGGCAAGAAGTAGCCTTGAGCAGGGGAAGTGTAATAATATTCCTCAAACACAGTGTATGGAGGTCTGCCAGAGACAGGTCAGATAGATGAATCCTACTCCAGCACACGGGGATGGGTGGACATCCTGTGTAGCTCTCCCCTGTGTCAGGAACTCTCCATCTCATCCCAGGAGGATGTCCATTGGTAAGGGGCACAGCTGGGCTTCATAGAACGTCAGCTCCAGCATGCAGAGCCACGTCATCTGGGACAGAGGACGAAGAGGACCTTGTGTGCTGCAGAAAAATCATTAGCCCCAGGGCTATTTTTAGTGCAAAGGAAATCATGCCACAAATAATTCCCTCTGCTACCTAGAGGTCACTATCTACACCTCTGTGTATTTGGTGATGTCTGCAGGCCCATACTAGAAAGAGGCTGAGCTGGGGATGTCTCTTTTTCCTTTTCTAAATGCTTTTTGATTGGCAGTCTCCTCGGGGTAAACCTTGAGAGTGTGCACACACATGTTTGAGTGTGTGTGTGTGTGTGTGTGTTCATTATTTGTCACAGGGTGATTGCAGGGGTAATTCGGTGGCCAGATAAACTTTGTCTTCTTTGGGATGGAAGACATTGTTAGCAGATTTGTACATCTTTGAGTGGAAAAGACAATCCGTGTCCCTAAGATACATCAGCCAGCGGAGGTAAGCCTTGCCTGGCCCTCTGGGTTTGCTCTATCTAGCTTCTGCCAGTTACAGTATGTATTACCCCATCTACACAAGGATTGACTCATGAGTTAACCTGTGTCAAAAGTCATCCTTGTTGTCTCAAGGAGGACGTAGCAGAAAGTTACCATGATACAAAGATTTGCAGCAAACCTTGGGGTCAGTCTAAAATAAATGTCAAATGTCTATAACACAAACATTTAGAGAGAGCCCGGACTGGTGTTTACAGACATTTTAACCTGTTGAAGTGAGAGCCCAGTCACCAAGCTGGAGGAGGCAACCTCCAAACAGCACTAGGAAAAGGAGTGGATGAGCTGCAGCAACTGAAGGGCTGCATCTGCGCCTGCCCAGTGTGTAGGAGGAGGGAGGGAAATCAGAAGGGGAGTTAAGTTTCTGGTTGCTTCTGCTTCTGACAGCCCCTAAGGTGCTAGGGAAAAAAATAATAATCCTTGCATTAGATATGTTTGCATCACTCCATAAATAATGAATAACAACAGTCAGACTGAGCAGGGGCTTCCCTCAGAGGCGTGAAAGCTCTAAGGAAATCTGGAGCGGGAGGCCATACGTTGCATGAGTGGCATTTCTCCCGCAAACTCCATGTCCTTGTTGCAATTCAGTACATGCAGGTGGCCAGCCCTGCCCGAGCCGGCGCTGGAAGCCCTGTTTGTACTAAATCAGTGAGCAGAGAAGCCCCTTTCATTAACTGAGGGATTTTATGTCAGTGCTTTGGCTGTTTATTCTTTCTAGTGCTATTCTCTTCAGTCGCTGCAGGGATTGCTAAGAAACGCGGGGGAACAGGGAGCACTTAGTCAAGAGCAGAAATATTCAACAGTGAAAGGAACCCCTGAAAATTATAGACATTTTCCAGAGTAGCTATTTTCTCTGCCTGCAAAGTTTCATATGCTCCATGCTGAATTACCCTGAAGTGCAATTAAAATACTTTAATGTTTGAAATCTGGAAATCCTCAGTCCCGCAGTCTTAATATCATTCCTGGCTGTGAAAGATGAGGGGAGGAGGGAGGGTTTTATTCTCACCAGGCTGCAGGGGGATTTACACCAGTAGTTTTCATCCACTTCACTGCAAATCCTTTCCGATCGATATGCAGGCAGTGCCGGTGTGCAGGGGGAAGGCAGAGGTGCTGGTGATGCTGGCGTCTCCCCTGCTTCCAAACGAGCAGTGCAGCTCTGACACCCTCCCTCTGCAGCTCAGAGTCAACCAGCCCCTCTGTGCCCTGCTTTCAGCAAACCTGGAATAATTTTTATATCGACTCCTCTGGGAGGAGGTATAAAGCTAAGACTGCAGTTCTGCCTCTGAAAGTTCACTTTTTTCCTTCTTTCAGAAGCAGTTAAGCCCTGACCTTTGAATGCAGAGTGAGGGTGTAGCCAAGGCACAGGGTTCAGTTTGGCTCTACAAGTGACAACCAGAGATCATAGAATGGCTTGGGTTGGAAGGGACCTTAAATATCACCCAGTTCCAACCACCTTCCGCTAGCCCAGGTTGCTCAAAGCCCCGTCCAACCTGGCCTTGAACCCTGCCAGGGAGGGGCAGCCACAGCTTCTCCATACAACCTGTTCCAGTGTCTCACCACCCTCATAGAAAAGAATTTCTGTCTTATATCTAACCTAAATCTGTCCTCTTTCAGTTTAAAACCATTACCCTTTGTCCTATCACTACACTCCCTGATAAAGAATCCCTCCCCACCTTCCCTGTAGCCCCCTTTAAGTACTGGAAGGTTGCCATAAGGTCTCCCCAGAGCCTTATCTTCTCTGGGCTGAACAACCCCAACTCTCTCAGCCTGTCCTCACAGGGGAGGTAGTCCAGCCCCTGATCATCTTCGTGGCCTCCTGTGAACATGCTTGAGCTGGTCCATGTTATTCTTATGTTGGGGGCTCCAGAGCTGGACACAGCACTGCATGTGGGGTCTCTACATGGAGTAGAGGGGCAGAATCACCTCCATCGGCCTGCTGGCCACACTTCTCTTGATGCAGCCCAAGGTGCAGTTGGCTTTCTGGGCTGCAAGCACTCATTTCTGGCTTATAGTCAGTTTTCCACCCACCAACACCCCCTTCTCTGCAGGGCTGCTCTCCATCCACCCATCACCCAGCCTGTATTTGTGCTTGGAATGAGATGAGATATGAGAGAATGCTGTACCCCTCTGCTGAAATACATTGGAAAGCTGCAATACATAAGGTCCCTGTGTCCATCAGGGAAGGAAGGAAAGCCAGTTTGTTCTTCTCTCAGCTCATCCTTGGCCCTCTTGCACTTTTGCTGCTCCCCACAACTGCCCAGATGGAGTGTGTGCGTGTTTGTCTGGGTATGTGTTATAGAGAGACAAGCACTCAGTAAGCCAGGAGAACTCTGCATTGCTAAGCAAACATTTAGATGAGGGATATCAGACTTTTCTTAAAGAGCATGAGCTTAATTTAAGATTCAGCAGCCAGGCTGAAGCAATTTGCGTGTGCTGGCAGAAGGCTGCCTGGGTGAGTGATGGGAGCCCCCAATACCTGGAGCATAGCTTGCTAAGCGAGAGAGGCTACAAGTCATCATCTGGGTACTTAGAAGCAATGTCCTTTATGATCCTCTGATTCATGGGCAAGAAGCATCACATAACTCAGGGACACTTACAAAGCTCTGTGGTGCCATCCTTCAAAGTTTCACTACAGCTACTTCAGTACTGACTCCAGACAACTCTCTAACTCCAGGCCCAGCTGAACAGGGGCCCAGCTCAGCTCAGCTCTTCACGCTTAGAATTAGTTAAGGCACTTAACTGCTACAACACAAAAAGAAGCCATGGAGGAGTTTTCCTGCCTAGGAAAATTCATTATGACAGAAACGTAATTAACACTGAGCAGCAAAATGGAGAGAAGGAAAAGCAGATCCCTATGGTTGATGTCGTTGCACCTAAAGCTGCTCACAGCTCTCTACTGGTGCTGCCGGTTTATCTGCTGGCTAGAGATCTGCCAAAAGAGCAAAAAGCCTTACCTACATGGAGCTCTTGACACAGATGCAAAAGGGAGAATGAGTGATGATGGCCTATTCAGTGTCCTGTGGGTAGAAGAGAAGATAGGACACCTGTAATTACTAGCAAATCAACTGGAAAAGCCTAGACCTTTGGGCTGTTACACTGCAGACATGGGTGTACCAGTGATGGTGGCTGGGAGCTGTAGCCACCCTCTACCAGCACCTGCTTGTAGCCAGCTAGACCATACTGGTCCCAGCAGCTACAATCTATTAGCTGAGCACTCTTAAAGCACCAGCACAGAGACAGGTAAGGTGTGTCTGATGGTGATTTGAATAACCTGGAAGACTTGTCACAAAAGTGGGCAAAAATTGATTTTGCGATTCACCAACAGCTGAGCTACAGGGACAGTGAGCTGCAGCACAGGGAGGGTTCAAAAATGGTAGGGACTTTAATGCCTTGAGATACCATTAGCTCTGCACACGTTTGTGAGCATCTTATCCGCTGAGAAAGTTTTGGAATTTCAATTCCTTCTCCCTTTTCTGTGCTCTAGCAAAAGTTTCTCCTGCTTAATGGCATATCTATTAGGAAAAGATTATCCAGACATACTGTGTTTGGAGGGCAGCAGATTTTGGTGCTGCTAGTATATCACCACCTCATGCCACTGCTAGAACAGTCTTTACCTAGAGTATGTGGTGAGATGTTAAGCATTTTCTGTAAAGAGCTATTTATTAAGCAGAGAGTGCATCAAGATAGAAGTGTCCAGATTTTCTGGGAGAAAAAAAGAAAATCTCTGTAGGTTAAAAATAGCTTTCGGATTGCAGAGGTGAAACCACCTGAGCTTAGAGCCTTGCTGCTTTTTAATAGGCAAATGAGATATTTCATGAGGGATTGCCTTTCCGTGACTATTGAAATGAGTGTCATCTTCTAGCAGCACCTTCTGAGACATGAGGTGTCTGTCTCCACAGGAGGAACAAAGCGGGGAGCCAGGTGAGATAGTGGGGGAGACAATGGATTCCCTCTGCACCACGGGACACTTCACAGTGAAGAGGGTATTGCCATTTATTGTAAGTGCCCTGTCATTAACTATTCATTGCAATGTATTAAATGGAGGGATCTCACAGGGCTCTTATGTACTTCCTCAGAATTGTGCTCTGGCTTCCCTGAAGCATTGTTTGGGCTGAGCATGACAGCACTTATCAATGGAGCACTTATGGTGACATGTTTGAGAGTCCTAATGCAATTTTTTAATTCTCTTCCATCAGTCTCCTGCACTTTCTTTCAAATTCAGATGTGGATTTTTCCAGCGTGTCCATCCCAGAGGATGAAGGCTATGTTTGCCATGGTCTTTGTTCTGCTCTTTGCCTTTGATGTGAGCTGATCCCTGACTCTCTGTGTACCCACCCCTTACCAGAGTGTGTCCTAGTTAATTTTCCTCTGCATTTTCCTTCCCAGAGGACATGTCCTTGCTTTGGACACTGAGGACTGGCCACTACAGCAGGGACAAATGGCGAGGATGGTCAGAGAAATGAACCAGCTTCCTCAACGGGAGCAAATAAATAGACTGGGGGGTCTTCAGTCTCCAAGACTGAACAGGGGTAGAGTGGAGGCTTACTGGAGCCAAAATGGTGTAGAGGGGAAAGATGCAACCATTTCAGACAGTTCCTCATTCTTTCCTTCCTACTACAGGCTCTACACATAAGCTAGCATGTGGCAGGCTGAAAGCCCAGAGAAGGAGGTAGTTCTTCACACCACACAGAGTCAGGCTGTGGGAACTCCTTGTCACGGGAGGGTGCAGGTGCTGGAAGTTTCTGTGAGCTCAAGGGATCATGACGCATGTTCACAGAAGAGAAATTCATTGAGAGTTATTACATACAAGGCTTTGCCTCGGGTTTAAGAAGTCCCTCAGCTGCAAGTAACTGAAGGCTTAGAAAATATCTGAGGTAGTATCACACTATGCTTGACTCATTTTTATGCTCCTTCCCAGCATTTGGTTTTGGTCTCTGGGGAAGACTTGGGTAGATGAATGTCTGATCTAACATGGGGTGGCTCCTCTTGTGTTCACCCTGTCATTACCACGTGAATCCCCCTTTAGTGTGACAAGAGCAAGGCTGAACTACCTCACAACCTTCAGTAGGAACTAGGCTAGTGAATGCATCATCACAGCAGGGTAAAGCTGCTGCCACCAGCTACAAATTTGCTCCTCTTCCAAGGTCTGTCCCTTTCCATTTGGATTTATGGTCTGCATTTTACTGGCAGAAATTATTCCCAGCACCCACTAAATATCAGATGCTTTATGTGCCTGAGGTATGATTACTTCTGGAGTACAGGAGGCTTTCCCTTTCCACGAGCTGTTGTACTTAGCAGGCACTACTTGTCACAGATAGAGGACCACTAAGCATTCTCTCTTATACCATTTTCATTGGTTTTTATATGTGCTTATTGTGATTACTAAATTATTGTTGTTATTAATAATGTTTTTATTACTATATAATTGTTATTAAGCTTTACTTACAATAACGTCTTTATAACAAGTTCTTATTTAACCCTTGTTTTTCTGTGATGCTTGGTGACTTTCTTGTGCTGAGCTTGACTTACATCTGTTGGAAGTTACAGCACAGTTCAGTATCTTAATATCTTAATAAACCTTGCAGGACATGCTACCTTCCCAGACTGGAAAGGAAAGAATTAATGTCAAGGTGTCAGTGATATTGAGGCATGTTACCAGGGCCTGCCCAACCTCCAGGGTGCTTTGGTCCTTCTGGGATCTCAATGATCCCCGAAGGACTTGAAATGCAATAAGTGCAAGGGAGACAGCTAATGAGGGAACCTCTCTGTGGCACCAGCTTCATCGTCATGAACACTATCTCTAAAAGAGCTGATTTATTTTCTGTGCTGCCTATGATGCATGAAGCAGGGGGCTGAAAATCTATTTTAATGCCAGTGAGTGGTGTCAGGTGAATATGAGCTGACATAAGAATCCAGACAATTAGAGCAGCTTCCCTTGACCTGATATTAGCAGAGGGTTTTCTGCAAGCTGTGATAGATGTAGATCCTCAACCATTGATTTTTTTGGTACCTGTCCACGAATATTATGATAAAGTGTTGTTTTTGTGAGGTTATTTTTTTTTTAAAGAGAGTTGAGTTGCTGCAGCTTTGTGAAATATTGGTGATGCAGTTATCTATGAGCTTTCTAAGCACCATGACACACAGAGCATTAGAATTCATCATGCTTGTTATTGTCCTTTTACAAATGACTTTATGCCAACCAGTCAAAGCTTGGGACTAAAAATGCAGCTACACAGATGTAGCTGCACACCATCTTCTGTGCAGAGGGTCTGATTTCATCATAAAGAGGTACTTCCAGGGATTATGGAAATAAAGTTTTTCCTGAAGCAGATAGGGGATGTGGACTAAACACTAAAGTCAGGAGAGGACTGAAAATACAAATGTGACAAGAGGTTATAAGAAGATACTTGTCAGCTAAAGGGAATAAATGTGTGTCCAGAAACACAGGGAACTAGGGAAAGCAGAGAGATGCATTTTTGTTTGAGAAGACTCCCTGATGGCTTCATGACACCCATTCTAAGCTTGACTGAGCTTTAGGACTCATGGATTCTTTGCAAATAGGTTCACCTGCACCTGAAGTCTTCTTTTTTCCTGTGGCAACAACACCTTTTCAAAAGATTCAATTGGCTAACTTACAAAATATTTTTTTCCATTATTTCAGCCCTGATTATCAATTCTATTCCATGGGGTCAACGGCCCTGGATGTACACTTTCCTCCTCTCATCCATGTGTTCTGTCTGTCCAAGCATTCCTTCAAGTTTTGGCTTCATTTTCCTCCCTCACAGCTGGATGACTTAATCACTGAAACATCCAGTCATAAATATGTGGTGTCTCTAAAGTGCTAGGGACACCTTGTACACTCAGCAAAGACCCTGGAGACAGAAAAGTGAGGGGCAAAACCTCTTAAGGTACCTCAGGAACTGAAAATTGTGTGCTTGTGGCAGCCAAAACTGAACTAGCTCATTTGAGAGGCAAACCTTATTAACTGAGGCTTGGAGCTGTGGCTGGCTCCAAAGGACACTAGTGAAGGGGTCTCTGGACTGCACCATACTGCATAAATGAGGGGAAAAAGGTGCTCAAATTTGCTGTGTTGAGGTATACAGGGTGAAACACTTTGGTTCATGTCTCCCAGCGGTGTAATAAAAATTTGATCATCCCTGTTCAAGGGATTCATCCAGTGTAAAACTAGACATGGTGCAGCCAAAATGTGCCTATTTTTATCATGGAGAAGTTTATCTTTTATATTTATAGGGGAGTTAAAACAAGGGGAAGACCTTGTGTACCCTTTAAGTGGTGAGGGTATTATAGCTCGTGGGTGAATGCTGGACAGTTTTGTTGAGTCCTTATCTCACTACCACTGGCCTGAGGAAGAAGAAATTTTATTGTAAAAAAAAGCTGTCTCACAGGAGTGAAGTGGGGTAACACCTAAACCTGTTAGTTGAATTAACTATTTTGAAAACTGCAGGTAAATGAGAGCACATTGTAAGGCATAGACTTTAGAAAATCTGAAAAATTGACACTGAAGCCACAGAAGAGGGGATTATACTTGTATTGCCATTATACTTGTACTGAACGTCCTGTAGGAATAGAAGAGGGATACCTCTTGTCTGCACCTGGAGGAGGACAGCATTGCTGGGGTGATGTGTACCACCGGGGAGAAGTCTTAACCTGGGGCGGTTACAGTGAGTCCCCCTGCCTGAGAAGGTGCAAAACCAGGAGCAAAATGTCAGTATTCTCAAGCAATTTTCCTTTGTCAAGCTTCACATGACTGATGGCCTCTTTATTTTGCCAGACACCTGTTCCACAGAGAGAGGGGCAAGAAATAGCACTGTGGGTGATGGAAGCTTCATTTCTTCTGTCACCCACCAGTGGTCAAGCAACTACTACTACCCCCATTGCTGCTGAACAGGGGCCCACCAGTTGGAAAGGCAAATGTGCAGGACTTGCAGAGGTAAGCACTAATAGAGGGTAGAGAGGAGGTCTTATGTCATGACTGTATCAGAGCCAAATCATCAGAGTCTCTGGCACATGTCATGCCCCAGATAAACTCTCAAAAAGCAGAGCAGATCATATACAACATGTGCATGTCTCAGCAACACTGATTAGCACAGGTTACTCTAGGCTTTAAATAAAATTGGTAGAGTTATTGTTAATTATCTTATCCCAATTGTCCTACTCTGCCCTGGTTAAATGACCTTTTTCAATCACTACCACTCTCTCGGATTTGTTTCTTATTAGATGTCCTCCAGTGTTTCACTTAGGACATTATTATGCTTTTCAGGGCAAAATCATTTTCTGCTTTCTGTACAGCAATGAGAATCCCTCTCCTTGCTTATTCCCTGACCTAGCCTTTCTGCTACTTTCTCATTTCATCATATTTCATCAGTGGGGAATATTAATCAAGGCCTGGTGGGGTCTTTTCCATTTGGATTGCAGGCAGCAAGATGCACCATCTTTAAGTCATAAAAAGTATGTCCATAAGCAGCAGAAGCGATGAGATGTAGTTTCCTAAGAACTTCTCTAGAGATTGAACTCTGCTGTCTAGTAAGGGCTGAATTGGCACTGCTGCCAATTAGTGACATGATTAATAATGCTTGTTTTCACTACTCGGTTACTTTTATCTGTTAATTATATAGGAACTTCAGATTTTTTTTATCTTTCCCATTCTGTCAACTGGACAATGGCTTCAAAAGTGATTGTGGAAGGGACTGGCTGTGACAGAAACACAGACATATGATCAGAGAGCTTAGTAGTAGACCTAGTTTCTTCAGGAAAGAAGTCTAAAAATTTGCAATAAATGTGTGCTTTTTGGCTTGCTCAAACAGGGTAGGTGGTAGGATACACAAAGTCTTAATCATTAGTGTGCTGGATATACTCTTGTCTTATCCTGGCTAGAGAAATAAGCCTTCAGCTTTCAGTGGTGGTAAAGCTACTGAAGAAGAGTGAAGTGGAACAGATCTTGATTTCCTCCATCCCAGCTTGGATTGCCAACAAAAAAAAATGTGCAGCAAGACATTTTGCAGAACCCTTGCTAACTATATAAAATATCATTATCAAAAAATCTTTGATGGCTGTGCCCAAGCAGCATTCTGGCATGTCGCTATGAAGTATTTCAATCCCAAGAGGATTTCTAGGAAAAGTTCAGGCCAGTTGCATTGCAGATGTTTCTGGGCAAGCTCCTGTATTTCCACAGTACCACTTTCATAGAGCAGAACTGCAAAGAAAACTCATCTTAGAGCTGAGGAAATCAGTCCCTGGTGATGGACATAATCACATTGCTGGCAGTATGACCTGCCAGGAGTTCAGCAAATTGTGTCAGAGCCAGCTCCAGCAACTGTACTTTATTTCTTGGTGGCTATAGTTTGTAAGAAGAAATGCACATTGGATCCTATCATCATTGTAAACACTATAGACTTAGGTGAGCTAAGAGTTATGCTTTTTTTTTTATGCTTTTTTTTTTTTTTTTTAAATACGTTCACTAGATTTATCCACATTAACAACAAAAGCTATTTCCTTTCAGGACTAAAAGAAAGGTGCATCTAGTCTGGTATCACATTCCTGACAGTGGCCAACAGAGGATAATATGGAAATAGTGGATGAACAGGAAAACATACAGGGATATCACCCCAGGCTCCAACAAATTGCAGGTCAGATATTTCCTAGGTCAGATGTATTGTCTTTGCATGTAACAGTCCTCAACAGATTTTTCTTACAAGAAGTCATCCAGTCCTTTCTGAGCAATGTAAAAACTAACATCCAGAGCATCCCATGTCAAGGAGTTCCACAGCCTTGTTAGGCACTTGGTGAAAACTATTCCCTCATGTTTGTTTTGAACATGCCAGCTTTGCTTAATGTCCCCTGCTCCTTATCCTGGGAGGGACAATGACTAATTAATTCCTACCCCTTACAAAAGCATCCATTTCTTCTATTGCTGGTTTTCCAGGTTTTTCCATTTTTCCCACCAATCTCCTTGTACTCAGCATTGCTGATTTTAGAATTAAAGACATCAAGTCATCATAAAATAACTTGCCTTTTGTCATGGATTCCCAACCAGAGCAGGATTCCTGGAGAGCAGGATCCTCCAAATCCAAGTGTGTGCCCAGCAATGATGCATCAACAGCATCTCTCATGTATCTTCTCAGCAAAAGTGGCTCTGGAGATGCTAAGCATTTGGAGGAAGACAACCCTCGTTAAAACATTGCTGTGGCACTTCGAAGAGGTGGTTCGAAATGCATCACTCTCTGCCTTGTGCAATGTTTGTGTAATTTCTAGGGATATAAGGGAAAGCAATTTGTACTGAGACTCTTCAATCAACAATAAAAAGCTATTATACAGCTGGAATACTTGGCCAGTGTTCTTGGTGCAGATGACAAGTTATGAACAGCTGTGTTGCAGTATGAGAAATATAATCAGACTGTCTGGTGAAGATGGTTGAGGGGCAGCCATTCGCAGAAAGTAGGGCAGCCTCGGGTTTGCACAGGAGGCTGCTGGCTGCTTTGCATACGTCGTGGTGACAAGGAAAAGTCTCTGCTTCACAGGCTCACTGAACCTGGGAGTAGCATCGCTAGACCCTCTAAAAGGGCATCACACTCATGATGGTGTGACTATGATTTAGTGAATCCCTAATGGTGCAGAAGAGCAGATTTGTTTTTACACAGAAGCTTTTAAGCTGTGATGCTGTTTTCAATTGCCTGTCTGCTGCACAGAAAAAAAAAAAAAATAGGGAAGACCAGCAAGTGGGTGTAACAGCTGGGTACCTGGACTTTGGAAGTATTGGAAAAAGCTGCCTGCTGCTTCCTTCTCAGCCTGTTGCTGCACAGATTGAAGCTGAAGTTAGGATTTAAACAGTGAAATCCCTAGCTGGTGTCAAGTCTGACAGTCTGCTGCATACTGTCTTGCTCTGATACATCTGAACTCCCCTCTCCCCACTACCAGTTTCAGAGGCAGAAGAAGAGCCCTTGGGATGCCTCTTCTCTGTGATTCAGGGTACAGCCTGATAGCAGGAACACTGCTTACCCTCTGCTTTTATCAGGGTGCAGGCAACGCAGAGGCGTTAGTAGGCGGCGGAGCAGAGCCCCTGCTCGGAAGCTGCCCGTGTGACTGCAGCACAGAACGGCAGCAGCTGAAGAATAGTTGGAAGCTATTTCTGTCATCTCCTCAGAATGATATATTTTTAACAGCCTTTCAGCAGTCTGAGCTCACATCCAGAACTGTAGCAGGGATGTAGGACGGACAGCAATTTTCTTTTGGTCTCAGTCTGGAGAGGTCCCTGTGTTCAATTCCACTTGTGCCGGGTGGGCATTCCCTTCTGGGCAGCCACCTGAGGAGGCAGATTTTGTGAACAAATTCCAGGTGTGTCTTTGTCAGAGAACAGCCATCTGAGGTTGAATATTTGTAGCTGCTCCCCATCTCTGGGGTGTGAACGTGTCACCTAGGTGTAAAACGCCCATATGTTACCCATCCTGTAAACCTCTGGTCCCTCAGTCTTAGACAGATTGCTGTTTTTTCCATTTGTTTTGGACAAGCAACTGTGTAAATGAAGCTACATCTTGTTGGTCATACAACTAAAAAGAAGAGATTGAAAATTCCTTGGGGCAGAGGCTGTCTTTATTGGTGCCTATTATAGCTCACACACACTCCTGAGAGGCAATGCCTCATAATTAATTGCTAAATAATTAATAATAATATGAAGCAGATACTACTCAGGAAGTAATTAACCTCCTTGTGCTTACAGGGAAGTCCTATGGAATGGAAGAGTAATTAAAGACTCTTGAAACAACACAGAAAAACTCCCACTGATCTCAACTGGGGCAGGTTTAGGAATTGAGTCCAGTAGGATTTGCTCAGATATAAAATAAAACCAACTTTGTTTCTGCAGGTAAAATTTTTAAATCTGATAATTTTGGTAGGTCTATACAAGTATGCAGCCTGGATTAACAATTTTATTTTAATTTAATTTAATTTAGGGTAGTATGAAGCAGTTAGTGATAGATGTTGGAATTTTCCTTTGAAAGCAAGCAGGTGACTAGTTCATGCTGGGATAGGGGGTTCTCACAATTTTGTTCAGGCAGTATCATACAATGGACAAAAGTAACACGTGGATGGCAAAATCAGGTTTCAAGAAGTATCTTTAGGTGATATGATCCTTCCACAAAAGCACAGAGAGAGTGTAGCATATTTTTTTGTTCATGCCTGAATTAGACTTTTTCAGTCACTTCAAAGTTCCTTCAGATTATTTCACACAGTTAGAGGAGATATGAATTTTCTGGGGCTTTGGAGCTGTCATTGCTGAGGGAACTGAAAACATCAGCTAAGAGTATCAGGTCACACAACCACTTGATATTACTTAATCAAGGTAAGCCTTGCAACTCTTGATTCATAATTTCATTGGTCTCTTCTTGAAAATCAAAACAAAAAGAAAGACACAGCCTCCCCAAACTCTTGAAAGGTATTTTTAAATCAGGGTGAGCTAGAGCTCCGAATTTCATCATTCCCAACAGCATTCATAAAGTGCCCCCTTCAAGGATGTGTGTCTCAACAGCATCTTGATGCACTGATAATGAACACTCTCATTTTCGGGATTCACCAATGTCCTTTGTAAGTCCTTCAATTTTTCTTTATTTTCTTATTAGACAGGCTATTCCTTCTCTCCCGATACCAGGTAAAGGTGGTTGCATTATGCTGCTTTTGTCAAATGCATGACAGAGAGTATGAGAAAACGTCAGTCATTTTTGTTCTGTCTTTGGGGCTTTGAGGAAATTCTGGCTCTCAGGAAACTTCCTATTTTTTCACCTCAGATGTACGTGGCAAACTTGGAGGTTAATACTCACCAGTAGTTCAATGGAAAATGAAATTGCATTATATTCTCCTGAAGCTGCTTTTGATGGGAACTTCTGCATGGCATGACTTTACCATTTCAGATAATCGATAATCCAGTTTACCTAGATTCCTGTCCTGGTGCTTGGCCCCAGATAAATCGTGCCAGCCATCCTTGAGAAGAGGCATGAGCCAAGACTATGCTGCATCCCTGGTGCAAGTCTGGGGAAGCCCACTGAGTCCCTGCACTCCCTGTCATCCTTCACCAGTGCAGCTCAGCCAGCAGCTCCAGGCTTAACCCTGCTGGAGAGCCTGGTCACAGCTCAGTGCTTTCAACCCCAACCTTATTGGACAAAATCTCACTCATGTTGTTCCTTCACATCTGAGAGTCCAAGAGGTCTCCCCAGCCCTGGCTCTCCTGCTGCCACAGGCCAGTTGTCCCTTCTCTTTTGAAGACCAGGTGCGTGAAACACCAGGGGTTGTGGAAGAATAGCAGAGAGCAATTAGTGGTGGAGGATGTTGGCAGGCACCTTGTACATTGAAATCTACCCCAAACCCTGGTGATCACTGGATCACCCTGCAGTGAGCTTTGGGGAGAAGGTCCTCAAACATCTTTTTGCCTGCGGCTCATGCCCAATCTGTTTTCTGTGGCCTCTGTGATGAAAACTGCACACCACTTCTCTGAAATTTAGAAGATCATATAATCATATAATAGTTTAGCTTAGAATGGACTTTTAAAAGACATCTAGTCCAACCCCTCTTCAATGAGCCAGTCCCATCTTCAACTAGATCAGATTGCTCAGAGAACCGCCCAACCTGACCTTGAATGTTTCCAGGGAGGGGGCATCTATCACCTCTCTGGGCAACCTGCTCCAGTGTTTCACCACACTCACTGTAAAAAATTTCTTCCTTATATCTAGTCTAAATCTACCCTCTTTTAGTTTAAAGCCATTACTCTTGTCTTCTCACAACAGGCCCTGCTAGAGTTTGTGCCCATCTTTCTTACAAGCCCCCTTTAAGTACTGAAAGGCCACCATAAGTTCTCTCCAGATCCTTCTCTTCTCCAGGCTGTAAAACCCCAACTCTCTCTGCCTTTCTTTATAGGAGAGATGTTCCAGCCCTCTGATAATTTTTGTGGCCCTGTGGACCCACTCCATGGATTTCTTGTGTTGAGGACTCCAGAGCTGGGGTACTCCAGGTGGGGTCTCACCAGAGCAGAGTAGAGGAGCAAGATGGATGTTTTTAAATGCCTGTGAGGGCACAGCTTGTCATAACGGGGCCAATACAGTCACCAGCAACTTTCCCATCTTTAAGTCACCTTCCAAAATAAATCTCCCTCTGACCTCTTACTCTGTGGCTTCAGTGTGAGAAACTGCATATTCATGGCACACTTTCACATAGGTCATGCAGAAGGCTGGAAGACACCAGCCCTGGGAGATGCTGCAGTGAAACCTGCTTCTTCCCACCAACTTGGCTTTTTCACCCTGTTCTGTGACTGCTCAGTTTGATAACAGACCAAGTAAACTAATACTATTTATTTTAAAGCTTGCTCTAATAACAAGGCTGAATTTTAAATCTTATTTTTCCCAGTGCAGTATGAACCCACTGTTTAGGAAAAAAAAATAAAAAAAAGTCATCCTCTACAGGGTTTATAATTCTAATTGAGAAACAGTTCTCCTTAGAGATGCACTGCCATGCTTTAGCCCAGGCACAGGTAATTGAGAAAAGTTTGGAGAAGCCAGGCAGGCACCCACCCACTGGTAGAATTCCCCCTGACAGTCCCACTTAGAGCTTGAACTCAGGGTCCTCCCCATTTAACAGCCTC